TTCATTAAGCCACAATTTGAGATTTAGATATGTGCCTTTACATTATTTGCCATGAACAGGACAGAAGCTGAGCAACTCTAATAGAAAATCATTAGAATTAAGGTCCTTTAGATTATAATGGACTTTTGAAAAGGCAACTCAATATTTATTTCTATTATTTGCTACAACACTGCCTTGATAATGCACTAGTCTCAGACATTAAAAGACTGTGAAATTGCTTAAATAAACCTGTGCTAGTCATTTTTTTTATACTTATAACCTTTAACCCCATATTATTAGGATAAGAAAGAATGTTATTTTCCCCATTGTTTCTGCTCCATTGATTGTGGCTCCTTAAACTCCCTCTTATCCCCTGTTATTGTATTTTGGTAACAGAAGCGTCCTGTTTTATGAATTGTGTGTGCTGAATTAGCTTAAGAGGGCTTCACTGCGTGATGATGACTTGAGTCCTCTAATTGTGAAGGCAGTTTCTTTTACCTTCATTATGAAAAGGGCAAATAAGGTGGTTTTCGTAGCCTAAAGGTTTTTGTAAAGCTTTCCCTCTGTTGGAGTAAAGCATTGGGACAAAAGAAGTAGGCTGTTCTTAGGAATTTCTTGAAGTAGCTTTTGGAAGTAAAATTAGAAGATAGCTATCTGTTCCTCTGCGAAGGAACAGAGTCATTCTTATAGCACAAAAATTGAAGCAGAGACTCTGATTCTTTGGGGATTCATTATTTTTTCCTTTGGTTGTAACAGCAGTAACCTTTTACAGTGTATAAGGCACGTTTGCATACCGTTGCCTCAGTATTGCCTTCACTGTTAACCTTGTGCTATGCACAGAGCAGGTGTTGGTAGTAGTAGTTCAATTTTGCAGCTGAGGAAACAGACTGGAGGAGAGTAAGGACTTTGCTGTAATCCCACGACTACCAAATGGGAAACCCTGGAGCTTCTGACTCCAGTCATGTGCTCTTTCCAGTATACTGCACTGCATCGGGTCCTCTTAATCTGTGCTGTGTTGCTAAGGTTCTTGTGGAAGAATAACATACGGAAAGTGTTCTCCCCAAGAAACAAAAGCGGCAACATAATATATGAAATGTAAGTAGTCAGAATGGGATGAATTCTCCAAAATCTCATGTACAATTAAGCTAGATATTCTGAGTCATTTGTACATAAATATTCATATAGTATGTATGCATAATACCGCTGCATTATCCCTTCTAGTTTATTTATTTGTTCTTGCTTGTTTTGTCCTTACTGTTGAATTGTGGATTTAGTACTGTAGGCTAATAGTTTCCTCACCACTTCTAAGATCTTACTGCGTGGCCTTTTAGTCTTGTTAATTTTGAAAAGTCTGTTATTACTCTAAAATTTTCCTTTGTAGATAAGTCCTGTATTTTCTCTCATTTAGCTCTGAAGATTGTCCCTCTGCCTTTGGTGTTAAATAGTCATTTTATAATGTATATAGATATAAACTTTTATTTATCTTGCGTAGGACTTAAGTTAGCAAATTAATGTGTTTCATTGATTCTGGAAATTCTCAGCCATTATTTTCTTAAGTAGTGCTTTTTTTCTGTTCCTTTGTTCAACCTTTTATTTTGAAATAACTTTAAAGAAAAGTTTCAAAAAATAGTAAAGAAAAGTATATACATGGAATGGTATATTATTTGGCAATAAAAAGGGGTAAGTACTGATACATGTTAGGACATGGAAGAACCTTAAAAACAGTTGATCCTTTAAATGCTAATTGAAAGAAGCCAATATATTATATGATTTCACTTATAGAAAAGGTCTAGAGAAAGCAAATTTATAGAGAAAGAAAGTGGATTTATGGTTGCCTAGAACTGGAAAGGCCAGTGGGAAAGGGGAACTGATGAATGATTACAGGGCTTCTTTTTTGGGATGATGAAAATTTTCTAAATTTGCTTGTGGCAGTGGTTGCACAACTTTGTGAATATACTGAAAACTGTTGGACTGTACACTTTAGGTGAATTGTGCGGTCTGCAAATTGTATCTCAAAAAAGCTGTTATTTAAAAAAAAATACTGCAGAGATTTCTTATGTATTTTTCACCTGCTTTCCCTAATGTGAACATCTTCCTTTTATTACTGTAGCATAATTATCAAAACTAAGACATTAAATTGATGCAATGCTGTTAACTAGACTATAGGTTTTATTCAGATTTTGCTAGTTTTCCTGCTAATGTTGTTTTTCTGCTTCAGGATCCAGTCTGGGATCCCACATTGCATTTAGTTGTCATGTTTCCTGACTCTCTTCCAATCTGTGCCAGTTCCTCAGTTTCCTTTGCTTTTATGATCTTGACACTTTCAAAGAGTCCTGGTTAGTTATTTTGTAAAGTGTCCTTTGATTTGGGTGTGTATGGTTCCTCATGATTAGATTGAGATTATGAGTTTTTTTTAACTTTTTAACTTTTTTTTATTGATTTATAA